GCAACGGTGTCCAAATAGACATTTATCAACAATCGCAGCTTCAGAAACCCTTTTGGAAAAGTAAAAATCTTGTAAATTGGTTTGGCACCACAGAAGCACAAGCTGCCGAGCAATGCATTTCAAGCACTCGTTTTAACACGAGGAAAGGCAAGATGTTAGAAATCTCAATACTGGACACTTTTAGGTGGATGGTAACAAAATGAGGACATTCTTTGAGTACTACAATAAACCGATCATCCGGGTGTGGTAACCAGAAGGTTTATTTGCCAGTAGTAAGGATAGTGTCTCTGAAATTGGGAAACACGTTATGTAGATGAAGTAAACTTCACAGATAGCTTTTAATTTTCAGTGTTTGGGCATTGCTGTTTAGGGTGACTGCACATAGATTTTTGAGAGAATTCCGCTTAATACTGTGATAAACATTCTGCTCAGACGTTAGATTTTAGTCTCGGATAGTATCGACAGAAACCCTAATTCCTCTTTGCTTCTCAGTTTGTAAGCCACAGTCGGTTCAGTAGTAAATCACATTTCACAAAGTTTATAAGAATGAAAATAGTTCGGAGTCAGCTCCTGGGTGGAATAAAGCCATGTTGCTTAGGCAAAATTAGGCTGATTTTCTTGGGGGATTCACAACTGGAGACTACTTCTAGCCAAAATCTGACCATATAACAGGGGGGAAGTATCTGAAAACGAGACCACTTGGAGATGGTGTATAATTCATCGGATTGTAAGCCATTTTGACGGAGTTCAACGTCCACGGAGCTTAATAAACGTACAATACCAAAGTCATGTCTGTGACCGCTGCCAGAACCAGGGTGTGTGTACGCCTGTTTACGACTGGATTCAAATCAATATTTTCTAATCAAACCCCTTTTATGAACTGCCCGTGATTGTCCAAGCTCTGCATGCTGGCTTTTCGTTCTCTTACACTGGTCGGAGAAAAACACATTTACCACAGGAAGGCAGTGAGCAGAGCATCCTCGGCAGGATCTATTTGAGACTCTGGGTCGCATAGATACATTTTGATTGCGGTGAAGTGGTAATATGGATGTGTGCGCATGCATAATCTTAACTGGTAATTAATGGTCAAAACAGACGTTCGGATTATTCGTAATATGTGGCAGGAAAGTACTGCAGGGTTCAAGTTTGGAAAAACTGAAAGAATCAGTTAAAGCAAATATAGACAGGAGATTCGCCAGGTTCTGGAATGACCAGTTTTATTTATTCACAGTTCTCCACTGTCTGTTTACCGATCAGCTCCCTTTCAAATCTGTCCTGCAGTATTCAGTATAGTTTACAATACATGATTCAGAATTATTAGGTGTAGCGGGCTTTTCTTACTGAAACAGATTGTTTACAACAATGAAGTAATCCTTACTAGTCCAGTGGAGAAGTTTACTAAATTAGTGTTGAAGTTGCCCGGAAATACTCAATGAATGCCTATCCTTGACTTGAGGAAAATGGAGAATTAAGCCAATTCCATTTTTCAATAGAAAGCTTAACAATCTTTTGGTTAAACACCACACTCCTGATAATTTTGTGGTTTGTTACACTGATCTTGAATGTTTCAAATTTCGTAAGCACATCAATGAACCATCGTACCTGAGTGAGGTCAATCACAATGTATATTGAAAAATGGAAATAGAGCAGAGGATAACTGAGGAGAGTACGGATGGATTGAGAAAATTAAAAACAATTAGACAGAGGAAGAGGGAAAAGGAATGAAGACAATAGTATCATCGCTAAAAGTATTAAACCGCGCCATCAGGTGTTTGTTGTTACAAATTATGCGGACCTGTCAGAGCTCTGTACTGTGGCTTGATCGATGTTAGTTGACCACGTGCAACTAAAACGTAAAAAAAGCACGAAGCTTTGAAACTAATGATTGTCAATTTTAAATACAGACTCGTGCAAGACAGCATAAACGCTACAGAGGAAGTAGGAGAATGACAAAACTGCTCAGATTCTGAGTGTTGTGGTTGCAAATGCCAGTCACATGGTGGCATTTCCGACTGGGGCACTTATATTTCAGAGAACAAATAATGACACATTATCTGCAGTTGCTTCGGCGTGATTGTGATTTTCGTAACACACATAGCGTACTTGATCAGGAAAACATTATTGCATTATTGCATTGTCCTACTTAACTCTGACCTACTACCAAAACGATTGAATTTCTGAGGGCTAGGGAAAACAGCTGACCCCCTTCTCCTGCTTGAACCCTGTGGCTGATAAGAGCCGGGATTTGTACTTTTATTTACCAGGGTTATTGATTTCCCATAGATCAAACAACGACCATCGTCAATGTTCCGTAGTTCACATAACTTGTGCCTCTGTTCTCACCGTACAGGCACGCGAGCGGACGCCGGAATTGCAATGACGTAAAAAGGAACACGAAGAGAAAATAAATTCGTCAACATCTGAGTAATAGATTGAATACCCGAGGTCAAGGGATATAACCAACTGATGATACAATTACAAAAGGACCTGATTTAATCACAAGATGTAATGGGTAGGAAACAGAGGTATAACATAGGAGGAACAGTGTGACAAAGGGGGAAATAATGGATTGTGATCTAATGCGTCCCTTCAAGAACTGTTTACGACGATATGTGCTGTTGTTTAAACATTTGGTCAGTCATGCAACAAACAATGGACCTATTTGGAGATTGAAATAGCTCTAGGAAACGTCTGTGTGCAGTTGTTTGGAGGTAGCCAAACTGGCAATTTTCTTGGGATGTTTATCATTCACACAACACAACAACAGCCACAAAAAAGCAATAAACGAAATTTTCTTATTACCGGTGTTCAAAGTGAGAAATTATGACGAGGAGTAAAGGCTATATACTGTTAGTTTGTGTAGTTTAAAAATCAATGAAGCACCATACCTAGGATTTCATTGATGTGAAAACGACCAATTTTTGTTTTGCATTGACATGTTTCTTATTTGGGACATCGTGGATCATCGCAGACGATAGTAGAGATCCCGGGGCTTCAAAGGAGTTGCTGATAAGATTGTGTTCAGTCTCCTCTTTACGCTGTTAGCTCATTTCTCCACGGTTATTGCCATTTTGTTCAGCGAAAATGTTCCACGGTCCGTGAACAAGACTATTCTATCCCCAACCCATTGGAGACTACATCGTCTACTAGATTTGATCACGAATGATATCAAAAAGTAATAAGGCGCAAAACAATGAGAACCACAATTTTATTCCAGCTCACTTTCACTGGAGAATCGAAAAAAAACGTTTTGATTGATGTGATGTTAGAATCCGGATAAATCGCGCGATTACAATCTTTCTTCATGCTTGCACCTCGCAAGTTGGTGCTCCATGCATATCATATCAGGAACTAACTGATAATCTGTTCCTTTCTATGCGCAATTCAATCTTCATAACAGACCAGTCTTAATATCGCACAAACTAAGTTCTGAGACCTCGCACGTTGGAATATATCGGTTATTTCTTCCCCACACGTTTCCTTTTCTGCAATCTTCCTAGCCAACAATTCGTTTTTGATTTCCATTGGGTTTTGCAAGTCCTTTGATGGTATTAAATATACATGGGGCCTTGTACATGTGTTTCGTCTTATGTTTGTATCTATAATAAAATTAGGAAGTTCAATACAAAGCTGTTGACTCCTTCATTCCGTGCTAATACGTTTGGGCTTAGAGTCTGATTTGTGTGGGTCTGTTCTTACGGTGCCGATCCAGTAACTCACACTAAGTTTGTAACTTCCATTAACCCCTCCCCCCGTCAATTACACTCCAAGTCATGACCACGCTCTAAACAACAGTCGTCTAAGAAGAATCCAAACCAGTTCGTTTGAATGAAAACTGACGACTATGGAATCCCTAACTGAAAAGTGCTCCTAGGGGATCTCCTTTTGATTAAAGGCATGTCCCGGCATTTCCATTCGCAGGGGAATTCTTTCATAAATGTTCTCTAAACGGTCATTAAAAGAACACGGTTTAACAGGACGAATAAAAGGGATTTGCAGGAGAATGAGAAAATCGGATTTGAACAATGGAAGTGTGTTTCAGAACAAGTTGACATCAGACTAAAGCGAATTACTAACTGATTGTTTCACCGTTCCTGGAATTCGGTCCGTTCTGAACATATGTTGCATGAGATCGTGTAGTCGTAATGTACCTGGCGCGTTCCAGGA